GTCGCACTATTCCAAGGATGACCTGCTATCATCATCCCGCCTCAGAGTTCTCATAACATCTTTTGTGGCATCATATTGGCTACATGGGACATTGGGTGGGGGCTGAACAGGGGAAATTAGCTTAATACTTCGTGTGGGAATTTTCAGACTCCGCCTGACTTCTCCGCAATCCCTTCTGTCATGCCCCTGTTGGAATCTGATTCCGAGGGGGGGGGGGTGGAACAGCTGACAGGGAGTGGGAGTGTGACTCCAGTGGCTGTGGAGGAAACTGAGGAAGACCCAAGCCCACCCCCTCTTCATCCTAGGGCACGCAGGGAGGAACGGAGAAGGGAGCAATGTGGGTTACGGGGGAGAAAAAGGCCCTGATTCCCTACATTAGCTGAAGCTGGTAAAACAGGATATAAAGGGTATTTGCGCACAGCACCTTGCTGGAAGCAAAGCGTGCATTATTTTGGTTTGTCAAGTCTTATCTGAGTTCTGGTGTCCACCCAACTGTGTGTGTTGCGTTAGCTTTTGAAGTCTTTAATTCCTTATCCTGCCTTGTCTTGTTAGTTGCTGTGTGTGGTTTGTGTTGGTTTTCATTTATAATTTAGATGTCCTTTGGGTTCGGACTGAATCTCTTCCCTTTAAGAACTGTTCTTGGGAGAGTTTTTTCTCCAGCCGATGATAACTCGACTTTGGGGGCCAAGTTGGAGGAATTAAAGGGACTCTCCTTACTTATATGACTGTGTTACCTTTGTGCCACGTCCTGGGTCATCACACCTCCTCTCAGTCAAAGCTCCTTTGGAAATACCACTTGTTTCCAGGACTCAGACTTTCCTGAAAAGTTAGCTCAGAAAGGTCCTTACACCAATCCTGATTTGAGCCATAGGGCAGCCCACCCCACCCCCATTTCCATGGGGGCATCTAGTACCCCTGGGACATGCCCTTCCCCCCCTGGCCAAGCAGAGGGCTCATGGTGCCAAGGGGAAGAAGCTGAGGGACAACCGATCGATCCTGCTTTCGCAAAAGTGAATCCATAGGTTTTCCCGTGAAGAGAGGGGCACCTTCCCCAACCCCCCCCCCCAAAAGGTCTCAGAGACCCCCTTTTCCAAATAAACATCCCATCCACCCCAGGACAGGCTCTGATCTCCATGATCACCTCCAAAAAAAATTATGTTTCAAAAAAACGTCTCTTTTGGTCAGCAGCGTGGTTCCAGATTTTTACATTTCCATACAAACATGACCTTAGTTACATATTCATCTTTCTCATTCCGTTTCATATCATATCATTACATGATATATTGAATAGATTAATGTACTTGAAATAATAAATGAACTAGAATGTAACCAAGGGGAAAATACCATGCGGAATCTGCCTTGAAATATATATGTGTTATGCAGTCGCTAGGAGATTATTGTTATTAACTCAAAAAGTGATAACTAAAATATGATTATACTGTGATAAATCATTATTATGAATTAAAGGGGGGCTAACTGAATGCTGTATAAGACAAAGGGGTGGTACACTCAAATTAGTAGTTAAAGGGCGAGATCTTTGAATTTTTGAATTATTAGAACTATGATGGAATTTTTTTGAACAATGAACTAAGAGTATGCAATGAATTTGCAAATGTGACAGTTAAAAGTATAAGTACAATGAGTATAGAACAAGAAATAAGATTTTTAAATATCATATAAAGAAGATACAAGAATATTTGAAGAAAAATGAAAGAAATTAAGATATGAATAGAAAATATCTGTACTAAGTGTGAAGAATATAAGAATGTATCAGAAAATTTATAGAAATCATCACCAAATTAAAGGGTCGATTTATTGCTACATTTTCTCTTTATTGTTTTTAAGGGATGAGAATCCCAAACTTACATGTCAGGTGGACAAATATCTTCACCATGTGATACAATTGTGTAAAACCTCTAATTAGATATGTTGTTTTATAGTCCTCTTGTTCGTTTTCCCCAATAAAAATGTGTTGTATTAAACTATTTATCTCTTTTTACTTTAAGTAAGATAATGGATTTGATCACCATTGGCAGCATCTATGCTTCTGCCTTTCAGTAAAACATGTGACTCAGTAAAGGTGCTACACTTCTATCCGATGTTTGATAAAATGACCCTAAGTTGCCCACTTCCTCCCATTTCACTTTGAGGAGATTGATGGTTTGGGGGAATGGCCTTGGGAGACAACAAGCGGATGCAATTTGGGATGTGCAAGATTCTGTGAACACAGCCTTGCAATTAAGTTGTGCTTCCAGTCTGGACTACCTCACAGGGCTAACGGGAGGAGACAGAGAAGACAACCTTGAAAAATGAGAAGGGTTGGCCATTAAAGAGCAAAGGTCATTAAACATGGGATAATTGCACAAGTAGGATAGGGTGGGAAGTTTGAAAGAAATCAAGGGGGAAAGTTATTTTATTTTGTATTTTTCTATTTAAGAAAAAAGTCTTAAATTTTTTCATTTATCAACATTCTGTAAATTTTTACATTTCCTGGTCTCCAGTTCAAATGTACGTGGGAAAATTCCCCTGCAGGTCTGTTTTCTCTCTGATGAGAACACGCCCCACACTGCATTTTGCTATTTTCCTTCTTGGGTTTTTCTACCTTTTAAAAAACATTGTTTAAATGTTTTTTCATCCCTTTTATATTTTGCTTTATTGTTTATGTTCTAATAGATGTAAGCTACCCAGTCCAGCAAAGGGAACATGGTGGCTCAGTGGCTAAGACGCTGAGCTTGTTGGTCAGAAAGCATATCAAAATGCAAGTAGAAAAATAGGGACCCCTTTGGTGGGAAGGGAACAGTGTTCCATGCACGTTCGGCATTTAGTCATGCTGGCCACATGACCACGGAGACAGCGCTGGTTGGAATGCTGACAACCACTTTCATGATATGGTTGTGCTATATTTAAGCTGGTTTCAAAACAGAACATATGGAGGGCAAAAAACCAGAAGTGGTTAATCTGTCTGATTTGTTAGCTTTATTTAGGGCTTTCCTTTGCAAGTTCTCTGTATAAAAAGGCGGATTATTTCTCCTTTTACAACTTGTGGCACAGTTGAAATATAACTGGATCTTCCATCTTTGCCAGAAGAAATATTCCTTTTTCATCAAAGTTGAACAATTAATAAGAATAATTATATAGTGTTCTTACTCCCCCCCCCCCCAGGTCATTTTTTTCTTTCTCAGTTTTCCCCATTTTAGGAAAGCATAGACAGTAACTTCAAAATATTTTATTGTTACTTGTTTTCAAAAAAAACCAGACCCCATGAAAGAGGAGGTGGAGTTGCACTGTATGTAAAGGACCACTATATTGCTACAGAAATGCATGAAACCAAAGATGAAAACCTCCTAGAATGCATATGGGTCAATATAAGAGAAAAAAAAGAATGACATGGCCATAGGTGTATATTATAGGCCACCCAATCAAGCAGAATATATAGATGTCCTTTTTGCCAGCCAACTAACTAACATATGCAGGAAACACACAACAATAGTAAGTAAGTTCCTAACCAAACTAGCTGACAACTTTGTTGTCCAAAAGGTAGAGGGTGAAACTAGAGGGACAGCCATAATGGACTTAATTCTTACAAACAGAGAAGAAGTGATAGAGGGAGTTGAAACTGCAGGAACCTTGGGTGAGAGTGACCATGTCATACTAGAATTCAACATAACGCAAACACAAGCAACATAACATAACGACACCAGAGTCTTGGATTTTAAAAGAGCTGATTTCAATAAACTCAGAGAGAACTTGGGAAACATTCCATGGATGAAAATTTGGATGAAAGTTTGGATTGCATTTCTTCCCTTTGTAGACTGTTTTTGGAAGCGTTTGATCTCCCAGTGAGGATAACTGGACATTGGGGGCCAAGTTGGAGGCATTAAAGGGAATTTATCTACTTTGGTGACTTTGTTATTTTTGTGCCACGCCCCTTTGGGTCATCACAGTTTCAGTTGTGTGGAATAGTGCCAAGAAAGTGAGCCACTATAGCAGAGGTCCCCAAACTTGGCAACTTTAAGACTTGTGGACATAGGTGGCTGGAGAATTCTGGGAGTTGAAGCCCACAAGCCTTAAAGTTGCCAAGTTTGGAGACCTCTGCACTATAGCTTTATTTTGCAGTAATTCTTCCTATACCTCCATTTATGTGAAGTACTCAAAGCAGAGCTTCATGGCAGAGCTTCCAATATAAAACCCTCTGAATAATATGTTGTGGATGTTAGGAATGTAAGTCACCTAACAGTTCTTTGGGCTGGAAATACATAAACCAGGATAGACATTTTAATACTGTATCTTTAAGAAAACTGGAATTGGGTGTGGTTTCTCAAATGGCCATAAGATGGAGCCAGAAACCTGGGTTGTTTTAGTCTCAGGAAGTCTCAGAAGAGAGTTTAAGTGAGTCTCTGTTTCCTTCTGTTGGAAGAGTTTTGCCGTTCCTCCATTTTTCCCTTTTGACTGTTATTCTTGGATTTGATGTAAGTCTGTTACTGAACTGTTTTTGATACTGGAGTTTGATATTGGAATTATCTCTGGACTGAACACTGACTGCTTTAACTGTGCTTGACTTGGATTGCTTGTTTGGATTTTGCTTGAACGTTTATTGGAAGTAAAAACCTACATTAACTGTACAGTGTATCTGTGTGCTGTGTGTGTGTATTATTCAAACACGTCTCTCACTACGTCTCCCTGTATGCGCTCATTCTCCTAACGGGGAATTACCTCAACAGTGGAACAAGGATGTAATTGCTTAAACAATAAATAGTAAGAAACAAGGATGTAAACAATAAAGAATTTATTGGTTATTAATTTTACTTATTTGCTGTTCCTCATAAAGAGGACAAACTGATACTAAAGCAGGAATGTAGAGTAATATTACTTCATAAATAAAATAAATTTATATTTCTGCCTATAAAGAGAATACTTGAAATATTGTCCTATTTTTAAAAAAATAACAATATTTTTTTAATAATAATAATAATAATAAAAAAAGAAATATAATCCTATTAACTATGGTACACAAAATTTGTTGTGCTAGGAATATGAGAACCTGAAGACTATGAATAGTCTGGATAAAACAGTTCAGTATTCAACATGCCACAGTATTCAATACTATTGAACTATTAGCAATCAAAGAAGGAGGGACATTTCTCGGTCACTTGTATTCTGGGTGTGATTGCTGGTCATAGTACAATCTGGAATAGCAGTAGGCACTCCACTGCTACATTTGCCACAACACCCACAGGCACATGTGAATGAAATGCACCTGAGAACCAAGTGGGAAAAGTACTTTCTGAATTTTTCACCAGCAAATACATAGATGATTGGATTAAGACAGCAGTGGCTGGAAGCTACTGTCTCAGTCACATGTACAGTGTAATCCAGAGACCTTAAGGAACCGCAGTCTTTGAAGACTTCAAAGTACTGTAGCACTTGCAGAAAAAGTGATAAGTGATATGGAGTCCAGAAGAGAAAAAATACGATTACCACAAGTGAAATCACTTTCATAGCTTTTTGTTTGCACTGGTTTTTGCAGGACAGCAATGTTCTGATGATCTGCAGATAGCAGTAGCTCATGATGCATATTGGGAGAAGAAATCCAATGACGTTCATTTCCAAGTAGCTGAAAACAGGCCATATTATATTAAGATGTTCTGGATACGATGAAGTACACTTTCGGTCTGACTCTTGCATGAATATAAAATGGGGGCTTGCAAAGAAAACTGCTAGGGCCCATATTGATATACTAATAAGATGCCCATAGGTGACTGTCCTCGATTTCATAATACATGTTGCCCGAACAATAGCCAGGTATCTGTCAATGCTTATGATGGTGATGAAAAACATGCCGCTGAAGTAGCCCACAGAATAGAAAGAGGAAACCATTTTGCATGTGAAGTTCCCAAGTGTCCAATCACGTATAATATAAGAAGCCCAAAAAGGAAGAGAGATCACAAAAAGAAGATCAGAGATGGCCAAATTCAGGAAAAAAATATCAGTGATGCTCTTTTGGTGTCTGGCTTTCAGAATGGTAAGAACCACGAGAAAATTTCCTACCAACCCAATGCTGAACACCAGGCCATACAATACAGGCAGGAAGATTTTTCCAAGTATCTTGATGTCCGTTTTATCACATGGAATGGCTCCATCCTCATAAATTACTTCAGTAGTTTCTTCAGTCATGGCGAATATATGCTTAAAATATAAATATAAATGAGAAACAGATGTGGATATATAATATATATGTACAGTACTACTAGGAATTTTATATTATAGCACCTTTCTGTAATATATAGGCAAGCATTATCAGGCTACTAAGTCAAACTTAATTTTACTAGTTAAATTTTTTGTGGGGAGAAATCTGGAGGGACTTACTTCTGAGTAAAACATAGAGGAAAACATTGTAAATCAACCGATTTCAGTAGGACTTCAGTTACATTTAGGTTTTTCAGGTTTGTGTTATATGTTTTACTCTGGACAACCTCTGGATGGACAAGAGTTGTATTTAAATTGTTAGTATGCGATTGTAGTGAGCAGAATTACAATATGAAATGGAAAAGGACATGCCACAAATATGAATATGATGTGTTTCTTTTTTAACTGGCAGGAACTGTTGATTAAAAAAACCCACAATAATATTTAGATATAGCAGGTGAGTTCTATTACAGTAGGTCACGAGAAACTGCTAATGATTTGGGGTGATTTTGGCTGAGGATTGGGACATTAAAAAGAGTTGGGGACCATGAATGATGTCAGAGGGGTGGCTTCTCTTTTAACTCTTTCTAATAGATTGTATTGTGACTGCTCTTTTGGTAGCTTCATAAACATTTATTGTCTTATGAAAATAATAGATAATATAATACTGTATTCCAACATTAAAAATGTTTATCCAATCTTTGGCATCTAGCACTGGTGAGATTGGCCAAAATCTATCCAAATTTGAAATCAGAATGTTGGAAATGCAAAAAGAAATCAGGTACCTTCTTTCACATGTGGTGAACCTGTCCAAAAGCGATAATATTTTGCAATAAAGTAAAGATCTGGTTACAGGAAACAACAGGCTTAAAGATAGTATCCAAATCTGAAACATTCTTATTAGGGATAACTAAAGGGGAATATGCAAAACATATCAAATGTTTAATAATTCATATATTAACAGCGGCCAGGATATTATATGCTCAAAATTGGAAACTCGATAATAGCCCCACAGAGGATATGATTATAAAGAAAGTAATGGATGGGGCTGAAATGAAGAAACTCACAATGAAATTGCAGGAGAGGGAAGAAAAAGAATTCAATACGGTCTGGGGAAAATGGTATGTCTGGTTAGACAATAGAAAGAAAAAATATCGTAAAAGTACAAAAGTGCAATTGTAAATTATATATATACACATACACACACATACATGCAGGAAAATGGAATAACTGATGCTACAAACAACTGCAAAAATGTATATAGAATTTGTTTTTTAAAGGTGAAAATTCAATACAATTTAATATTAAAAAACATTTATCCAATCTTGGCTAATCTTGAAAAATGCAGCAGAATTGGAGAGTTAGTGTATGTGGATGGGAAGCTAGCAATGGACCTCAAAGATGGAGTGTGGAAGGTGGAAACTGCATCCTGGAAGAAGGCAGTGGGAAATGGCTTTTGTGTGGCTATCGACTACATATTAAAAAAATGACCAGTCTACAAAATAAGTATGTATGTATGTGTATATGTCTATTATGAGATATGAACACTGGTGAAGATGCAAAATCTATCTGTATAGACAGATAGAATAGAAGGGGAACTTACCAAATTTGCAGATGATACTAAGCTGGCAGGAATAGCTAACACCCAAGATGATAGGCTCAAGATCCAGATGGATCTCGACAGACTAGAACACTGGGCTGTATCTAATAAAATGAAATTCAATGTAGAGAAAAGTAAAGTCCTACACTTAGGCAAGAAAAACTCAAAGGACACCTATAGACTGGGTGAAACCAGGCTCAATAGCAGTAACTGGGAGAGGGGTCTCGGAGTCTTAGTGGACAACCAGCTAAATAGGAGCCAGTAGTGTGCAGCAGCAGCCAAAAAAGCTAATGCAATCTGTTATATTCTGGGCATGGGTGCAAGGAATTGAGACAAGTCAGTGACTTAGTGAACTTCAACTCTTTATTAAGGATAAGAAACAAAGAGCAAAACCCTTGGGCAGCAGTAGCCCTTTTATAGAGCTAGCTACTGACCTGTTAACCAATGCTTAACTCTTGCCCAATGAAAGATGTTAAACTAACAGCCAATCA